TCTCTCTCTCTAATTATCTTTTACCAATTATTATGAGATTTTTAATTATAATTTCGAGTCTCGCATATAGTGTACAAAATAATTGTTAAGTTAAACGCATTGTATTTATTATTTTTGCTTTTATTATCATTTATTTTAAATAAATCTCTCTTCTCTCAAGTCATTGATATATTGTAAACATTTGTTGATTATTTTGTACACTCTTTACAATTGGTTTACAATAACGAGACTTTTTTGTATAGATTATAGTTTGTACTGAAAATAGTTTGACTGAAAACAAAACAAATTGATTTAAATTTGATTTTTACGTTTCATTTCATTAGCTTTTTGTTTTGCTTTGAAAACAATTATTTAAATTAAAATACAATTAATGAATAGCTTTATAATAGACAATGATATGTGATATGAGATTATATTTTACAGTATAGTTAAGACACAACAAAAACAATTTAATTAAATTTAACACAAAATTAACACTTTGTGAATCTATTTGTTTTTGGGTCCCAGTGTTGGGCCTCAGAGCTCGGGTGCTCTCGAGTTATGTTTATAACTATTATTATTACAAGTTTTACTAAAGTTAACAAAACTTATCATTATTTTATTTTGACTTATCATTAACTTTAAAAATGTATTTCTCATTCCATTTATTAAATTAAAATTAAGATTTAGTTTGCAATGAAAAAATTATTAGAAAAACTACTACAATAAATACATACAATAAACTTAATTATATTGCATAACATTGTACAGGCACACACTTGTCGAGTAATACCTATTATGTAATATAACTATAGAAACATTGTTTACAACATTAATTCGTATAAACAAATGTTTATCAATAGATATTTTACATGTTTAATGAAATCCTTGTTTTTCTGTTTGAATTTCATTAAAACAATTTAATTTTGAACCAAACATTAATTTTATTAACTTTTTGTGTGAAAATCTACATTGTTCATTTGCAATACAGTGAAATATAATGATCGAGTTGTTTTAAAGTTAGTTAAAATTAGTGACAAAATGTGCGATTATTATAGTAAAGACACGTTTAATAGGTTTGGCCACAAATTGTGTGAAGTATTGTTAAGTTATCTGTCATTTGAGGACCGATTCCGGTGTGAATGTGTGTCCAGAAAGTGGCGGACAGTTGTGTTTAAACGCCAGACACGGCTTGCAATTGATTATGAATTAATGCAAAGACTAATAATTACTAAATCAGATAAATTGCTGTTTAATCGCAAGAGATTAACGTTAATACTGAAGAAATGTCCGGAAATACAATCAATTGAATGCAACGATACTATCAATTGTCACCAAATGATTGAATTATATGCCTAACACTATTAAATTAAACGCTATTAATATCTATTTAAACAGTAAAACCACTATTGAATCAATTAATAAGTTTTTCTCAAAATTTGCTAAACAATTGAAAGCAATCAAATTGAATGCGACCCACGATTTTGAGCATGATAGCATGAGCAGAATATTAATTATAAACTGTGTTAAATTGTGTGAAAATATTACTGAATTAAGTTTAACATTTGCTTTTATCGACATATTTCCCACGCTATTAGGTATCAAAAATCAATTAATGTTTAAAACTCTTCGCAAATTAACATTAAATTATTGCAAAGAGTTTGACAATAGTTTTGGTATATTTGTTGAAAATTATAAAAATACCATAAATTCAGTAAATATCTCATGGATTGACGTGAGATGTGATGATAATTCAGTGGCGATACTAATGAATGGTTTGTCACAAATGGACAAATTAATTGATCTGAAGATCTTTATGTCTAATCAGTCGATGAATGAGACGTTTTTGAATGGATTGAAAAAAATTGGTCTCAAATGTCGGCGATTGAAGAGTCTTTGCATTGGTTTACATTGCAATCAAACTGTGGATCCATTTCGACAAACAATACAAACAATCAATGAATGCTTTAAACACTTGAAACGATTGCAAATTACCGGAAATTTTCCCAAAAAGTTTACACTAACGAGCGATTCGTTGAGTGAATGCAAATGTTTAACGCACTTAACGCTAGATTTTCCCATAAATATAAAAATTAATGAAAATCTACCAAAACTTCAATATTTGTGTCTAAATAATCATACGGGCGTCGGATCGTTGAACAGTAAACATCATTGTACCCTGTTCAAATTGAAATAATATCTAGCTATTCGGCAACATGCAACTTAACTTAAACTTTAGTTGTAATAATTTATATTGTATTAATTTAATATGTGAGCATTGCAATTTGCACTTATGTTATATTTTCTATTGTGATGTTAAAACTTGTTAAATCACTTTTGTATAACGCATGTCATAATAATGTTATGCAATACTTGTATAGCCATAGAAATAGTGATTATTTAATTAGAACTGAAGTAAACATTGATTGCATTGTATGCATGAAATAAATTTTTATTTTGTTATAAATAAAGTGTAATTTTAGTTATATATTGCAAATCAATTAATTGTTATAATTATTTTGAGTTCATTCTTGAAACTTTACGTTTGAAAATGTGTGAAAAGTATAGTAAAGACAGTTTCGACAGATTTGGTGACGATTTGTGTGAAGTATTGTTGAGTTATCTGTCATTTGAGGACCGATTCCGGTGTGAATGTGTGTCCAAACAGATCCAGAGAGTGATATTCAAGACACAGACAAAACTTAATATTAATAAAAGCAAAAAGTTTATAAGTGTTGGCGAAAAATCAAATCATTTTACTGTATTTGAAACTATACTTCAAAAGTTGCCAAACATTAGTGATGTGGACATTAGCTACGAGTTTTACGCAAATAATCCGGTGTTTGAGTTAATTATGAAATATTGTGTTTATTTAACGGATATTTATATTAATTTCTATCAGGAATGCGAAGTGAATGAAGAAATCATTAATAAATTCTTTACACATTTTGCCAAACAATTGAAGAAAATTAAAATTATGCTAAATATGGTTAAATCGTTGGAGAATTGTATCGACAAAAACATTAAATTATGTGAAAATGTAAGAGATTTATACATTTGTTATAATTATTGCTCTAATGATGGCAAGAGTTGTGTCCATATATTCAACGATAATAATGAGATTGCATTGAAAAAGTTGCAAAACTATTGTTTTTTCTTCAATAATGGGAATTGCGATAAATTTACACAATTTTGCGATTACTATAAAAACACATTCAAAAGGCTTGAAGTGATTGTTAACAGCGATTGCGATAAGAAAACAATCAATAAATTAATCAATGATTTATCGAAAATGAAATCATTAATTGTTTTGGAGATTGAATACGAAAATGAGTCCACTTTCGGGCAATTAATTCTCGGTTTAAGACAATTGGCACTCAATTTACCGACACTTAAAAAACTGGGGCTTTGGGTGTCTCTGGAAGTGGAGGAAAACGGGACAAAACTATTGCAAACAATTAACCAACACTTCAAACACATCCGACGTCTGGATATTACCGGCAATTATCCGTCCGATTATCTCATGACAAGCGATGCGTTCAATGAATGCAAACGATTAACTCATTTGAATTTGGGATTAGATTACTATCAAATGACAGACACTTTCTTCGGTAATATCGGCCAAAATGTACCGAAACTTCAGTCCCTATGGATCGGTAACTGTGTGTTAACCGACTTAACAGTGCAATCATTGTCACAATTGCGGCGATTGTCTGACATTAGTCTCAGAAGTGATCCGCGAAAGCAATCACTGGTCACTGAATCGGTTGTCAAACAACTGACCGACAAATTACCCAAATTGAAACAAATGTTAATTACTTTGTACTGATATTTAATTCATAAAATTTAGTCAACAAACAGTTAACATAGATTTTTGTGGTAATTAATTAATTTTTGAACAGTATTTATTAGTTTAAAGTTTAAAGCAAATCATTTTTTGATTGACATGACTTTAATTGTGTAATTAATTAATAAATCATGATAATAATTATTATCGTGGTTCTTATTTATTAGTTTATTTACCATTTTGAATTACAATAAACAAACTTATTTTTTATACTGTAATAAACATTAATAATAAACTTGGATATCGGCACAAAACACTTCGGTGGCGCCGGCATCGCATATCAACTTTCAACGAGTTAACCGTTGACCCTATCATAAGCGCCCATAAGGTTGTTATAAACGTTATAATAAAAACTCTTTTACACATAAACTGCGTTAACTCACGGCTGGCAACGCGTCGTCGACCAGAATCTTATAGTTAAGTGTATTGACGGCTCCGGGAGTGAGGGGACAGTCGAGGAATTGCGGACACACCGACTCGTCCACAATGGGATACCAACCGCCCAACTCTGCCTTCATTTCCATACGACACGACTGCGCGGCGCTCGCTATGGGGGGAGTGGTGTGTGTTTTAATCACCATTTTAATAATTAACAATTAACTAGATTAATTGTGGTAAATATAGGGTAAGCCCATTCACTTACACGGTGTGAATAGTCCGGTGACGGCGACAGTGGTGCCCCGTTTGAAAGCGCAGGGCTCGGCAGCGCACGGAGCGATGTCTATGGAGCTGATTGTGTTCACGTCATCTGTGGTCACATACATTGTATTTATTTCAATATACTGTAGCTTTTATTGTGTTTTTAATTAATAATTTTTAGATTTATTTCTTACGACAAGAAGTCTACGATTTGTCAGTCAATTGAAGGCAATTGTTTAGTTGAATGAGTGCTACGATTATAGCAACTGTTTTAAACATTTTGTTTTTTAATTTACTAAATTTATACGTTTAAACTGTTTTTACCCACTCTTTGACAACACTTTATGTGCACTGATTTTATTGACTTGTTTTTTTGAGAGTTGGATATAAAGAGTTGTAAAGTTTTATGTTAACATTGAAATTAATAAATGCAATTTTTAATCTTTATGCTGATTATAAATCTATAATTTTCTGCTTTATTACTTCAATTAATTAGTTATAAATACTAGTTAAAATAATTTTTTGGTATAAATAATAAATTTTAGCATATTATTTTACATGTTTTACCATTTTAGTCAATTTAAATCACAGTCAATACATAATATTGTATTTACATACATCAAATAAATAAACACAAAATCACACATTATTTTTATCTAAAGCTTTAGCTTTTTGTAAATTAGAGTTTAAGTTACAATTGCACTTGCTATTATCAGGAAATAAAATGTTAATTTGTTGTGGACTACTTCTGAGAAGTCGCACAGTTGTAGTATATACTTTTATTGTCAACAAATTATTAAAAATATAATATTTTGACTATTTCTGTATATTCAAAGGGAAGACAATGACTATAAATACAGTAACGCTTATTTTAAATTATAGTCTAAAAATTGACTTGGTCATTTAATAATTACGTATAATTAATTTCATCCCTCTAACAGGTCTTGATTATGAAAATCATGTTTAGAAATGTCTATGTAAAGTCAATGTATAGTCAATCGGAAAATGTTATGCAAAATTTCTTTCTATAATTTCACATTTTGTAATTTTACACAACGAAAACTGCGGTCCCAAATTGTGACTCGCAATTATGTGAACTTAAACAACTTTTATTCTATATCTAATAATTGGACATGTTACAGTGGAATGTTAGTGTGTATTGTGATATTCTTGTATTAGATCGTGCCAACCCCTGAGTTAGTTCAAATTAGGGCAAATTGTATGTTTATTATAAGTTTATAAAATATTTGTAGGCAAATAAAAATTTTAAAAATAACAAAGCACACAATAATAAAAATTTTATTAATAAAAATTTATTCATTAATAAACTTAAACTTCAAAATTGGATTTGTAGAAACTTGTTTAAAATACGAGTTTTGTTTTTATGACAACATTTATTTTTGTGCTCAAAAATGACAAAACAAGATAAATATAAAACTTGATTAATGAATATAATAATGCTATTTTTCAAATACTATTTCATAATCCGTCGGCACTAAAAAAGCAATGTTTTGGTCGACCACCGGCTCTAACGTATGGGTCGTACGGTATTTGTGGGACAGTCTTATCGGGTGATCGCGTGTTAATTGCAGGAATCGGACCACAAATATAAACAATGTATTCATTGCCAGCGATTCTCCGATACATACACGACGTCCGGTGCCAAAGGGTATGAGCGCTGGCGGGCGTACTGTCACAAAATTACCATGTTTGTCCAGAAAACGACCCGGATCAAAATCACTACTTCGCGGCCAGTATTTCTCATTCATAGACATATTGTATGTGTGCTGCACAACCATTGTTTGGCTGGCTATTGGATTACCAGCTTGGTCAAATATAATATAACATAAATATACAATATTAGAACATGAATATAAATCATTTTAAAATTGTAACCATGATAATTTGTGTTTTATAATAATATATACCGATAGTAGTGTCCAAAAGTGTGTTCCGCGGAGAGCCGATTGGGGCGGCGGTGCGATAGCGTAGGGACTCTGCGAGAAATGCCTGCACGCAATGCATACGCGGTCTGTCTTGCATTGTGGCCACTCTATCGCCCAACACCTCATCGACCTCTACCCTAAGTTTTTGCTGCCAGTCCTCAAAATAGTCCATAAATAATAGCAACCATTGGATTGTTGTAAATGATGTCTCGATACCCGCTATATAAAATTTTTAATTAAAATTTTTAAAACATCCTGATTTAACTGCACTTAACACTAAAATCATTTAATGATTGAAATATAATTTATTGCATATTAATATGTAAATCACTAATTGATATACCCTTACAATAACCGTATTGTTGAGAAATAATGAGACATAATTCCTATCGCTTGATCATTTTACCATAAATATTGAGTAAAAAACTATTGCCACTATTTGTCCACTATTTTTGGGGGCTTTTGAGGTAAATGTCCACTATTAAACATTTATGAGTTGGCAACACTACTCTCTATCCTGTGAACCCATACCAAAACTCCCAAAGTAATTAATATATAATATTATATATTAATATCAGCATCACCCTCAAGGTCCTACATTTTAATATACCGTAATATCCCATAGACAACGCGCACCCCGTGTATAACGCGCATATCCTCTATTGTATGTTTAAACTTATTAGTGTTTTTCGAATACAATTCAAAACAAAATATAGTGATTAATTGTTGTAATTAAATAAATTTTAAACAATTAAAAACAACAAACAAAATCATTATTGATTCTGAATCTGATAATGTAAATACAAAAGACATGTTATCTAGATATGATTTTTAACTTTCCATTTGATGTCTCATTTTTATATTAATTGATAGCATTTTCAGTAAATAAACGTAAAACTAAAAATTAAGGGTTAATTGAATGCAATGCTATCAATGATTAAGTTTTATATATTATTTCATATAAAAATGAGACATCAAATGGAAAGTTACTAAACATATTAGATATTAATGATGTGTTCAGAATCAGAGTCAGGTTTTGATTTTGACTGATTTTATTGATTTTTATACTTATTATAATTATATTTATTTAAAAACTAGAATATTTTACACTCCTTTACCCTGGAAAAATTTACCCTGAATGAGTAAACATGTAAATATACGCTCCCTCTTTGATATAGTTTATTATATAATTTTTATATGTTCACTCATTCAGGGTAAATTTTTCCAATGTAAAATAGTGTTAAAAACACTTTTTAAAATACTTTTTTGTGTGATTTATTTTTAAACCACATATAACGCGCACCCCGTAGATAACGCGCACCACTAATTTTGGCAAGAAATGCACTTTTTTCATTAGATAACGCGCGCGTTGTCTATGGGATAATACGGTAATTTAAATAGATCTAGTTAATCTTATAGATGCTTTAACTTTAATTCTTAATTAAACATTTTGTATTCTGACATTGTTTTTATTCTAAAATGTTTATTATAACAAATAATTTGATAATTTACCTATAAACAAGTCAATCAACGTGGCCGATACGTTAACATCTGTTAGCCACTGGACGCCAGGCCGACATTCGGCCTCTGCCTTACGTTTAGCTGCGATAAACAAATCGCAAAAATCTCGGCAAACGCTTTCATCGTAAGTGTTTTCGTGTGTTTTCAATACGTTTAGCGTATAATCGAAACATTTCTTAAAATTATGACGAAATTTGGTCAACGGGTCGGACATAAAGGGACGCAAAATCGGTATATATTCGTAGAGAATATATTTGTTGTTTATGTCGTGCGATAAAGCCGTAGAGATATATTTGAACAGGGTGGAGTATTCATCGTCGAATCTAACAGCAATTTTATTATGTAATTAAATTAATTAAATTAAATTAATTATACGATAATTTTTATATTTACTTATAGTTTAAGACAGATATCGAGACTGTGTTTGAAATGATGTCAAAGAGATATGTTTTTGGATCAAACGGCCGATTAATACCCTCTTTAGCTATCAGTTGTGTAGTAAACTCCGAAACCAATGCATTTATTTTATGCGTCAAATCCATTGATTTTGAATATTTACTATATTTTAAATAATAAAAGACAATGTTCAAAAGTGTGATAGCTTGCACCCAAGAGATATTTTATATACTGAAAGTACTTGATCTACAGAGTCTAATGGTATACTTCATATGGTCGAGTGACCTCGGGTGTGGCCGCAGTGACCACTTTTATCGGGAAAATTCTGAAAGTCAAATCTTTTATTTTATAAATAACCATGTCATATTATATATCAATAGAAAGGTATGGATGAGTAGAATCGAAATCCGAAGGAATCTCTTAAATCTGATATAACCGAGAAAAGTTATATTAAAATTAAGAAATTTAGTATTAGTTTTGTACGTTTTTTATAGTGAATAACGTAATTACTGAACATCATTTATATCAATTTTAATTATGCTTACAATGATAATTAATTTAGCAAAGTTTAAAAAAATAAAATTTTTTAATAAAATTTTTTGGCATTTCACCAATTAACATTGAACTTTACCCTTTAATATTTTAAATAGTGGTGAACATCATTATAGTATTTCAATTAATAATTTTACAATATTGTAATTACAGTATATTTTATTGCATAATTAGACTGTGATTAAATTATGAGAAATAACAGTCGACAATCGATATAATATAAAGGTGAAATTTATTTCAGGTGAAATTTTCGNTAAATAGTGGTGAACATCATTATAGTATTTCAATTAATAATTTTACAATATTGTAATTACAGTATATTTTATTGCATAATTAGACTGTGATTAAATTATGAGAAATAACAGTCGACAATCGATATAATATAAAGGTGAAATTTATTTCAGGTGAAATTTTCGAAAAGTGGGAATTATAATTGAATGTAGACTATAATGAACACGTATTCACTAACGTTAAAAGAAATAATGTAGGGTGTATATTATATGATTTATATCTAATGTCGACTGTATATTACTCTATTAATTAACGCAATAATACCAATTACAGTGCAACTTCTCTATAATGAACGGCCAGTTGCACGACAAAAGTGTTTATTATAGGGAGGGTTCATCCAGCGGGAGGTTCTGTTATATGTATAAAAAATCTAAAATATATTTCAAAACCGTTTATTCAAAGGAGGTGTTCATCCAAGAGAAGTTGCACTGAATTAACATTATCCAATTTTAGCTTATGCATTAACTAGAATTAATACCATGTTAACAAGGATCTTACTGTTACCTAACAATAATGTGTGTGACTTTACGCAAAGTTTCCCAACTCGAAAGGTGATTGTTAAATGCAACGGACCGGCGCTCAGTATTGCTAAAAATATTTGCTGTCAACAAAATTAATTAGTATTAATCAATTAAATACTGAGAGAGAGAGAGAGAGAGAGGGGGAGAAAGTATTTTAGAAAGTATTATTGCGACATTGCAGAT